CCCCCCCCCTCAGCTGGGAAGATTGCACCTCAAGCGAGGACCTACTCCAGACTTTAGCCCCAAGTAACTTGAGAATCAGGATTGGACAGGAATTGTACTGTGAAGACCGCGAATGAGCCCATTCCTGAGGCTCTGAAACAGGAAGAATGGGACTTTGAACGTATTACATGCTGACAGATCAGACCAGCATTTTTGACACCCTCACACACGTAGTCATTTCTGTCCATCCATGCACTTATTGCGGCAGCTTTGTGAATTACTGTGATTATGAAATGGATAGTAGAACCATTTTTCCTTTTAACATGAGTTAGTTTAGTGATATGCTTTTATTTGTCAATGTGACAACAGACTTAAAATGATTACTTATATCCTGAACTGTTATTTAGACCACTTTAGTATTTTTAAATTAAATAACTAGCCGAAATGGCATTTGTGTTTGGTATTGCTGCTAGGATTTGTCTACACTGCTGTAATATCCCACATATGTATGTGGGGCTGCATTCAGAATAAAATGAATTCCCTTTCATAATTATTCCTTTTGTATAATGCCTCTCCCAACATAGTTTCCCCAAAGCACTTAACAAATGACACACTCATTTACTGACATTCTATAGTTTAGACTAACAATCGTTTACATGAAAAGAGATAGAAGTCAGAGGAAACAAAACTCCATGATTTGATATAGATGGGGAAAATCTGGGTGTCCAAGGGCAACTGGCTGCCCCTCCCCCCCAGGCCATTTGTGGGTCATTGTACTACCTGTAGGTCAGTTTGCCTTACAGCCTTTGCATGAACTCAGTTAACCTCTGCCCCAGGTACAGGGCATCAGGCCAAATGGGCAAGACATTATCTGTGTACACAGTTCAGTGCTGGCTGCAGATTACTGAGAAGGGGCCAATACTGATCTAGGTGCCAATGTGACATGGCAAGTTCCGGGTTCCCTCAATGGGGATCCTGACTTTTCCCTTGAGCAGTCACGTGACTAAAAAATAAATACATGTGGGAGCTACTTATTTCGCCAGCACAGCCCTGGGATTCCCCTACGTCACAATTAATGGCAGATATATAATTTGAGCCAGAACACTTTCAGGCAAGGAAACGACACAGTTGTTAATAGACAGCAGTCATATCACCTGCAGTTCATGCTAGGTTATCTGTCTGGAGTCAAGCAGGTTTGGGCCTGGCCAGTACTGTACTGTAAAAAAAAAAAAAAAACAGAAAATGGTGCCGTCCTTCAGATGAGATTTAAAATAAGCTTTGGGTGTCTTGAAAAAGGGCCATAGAAATGTAACATTCATTCAAAAAACCACCAAGAAATGATATCCCAGCGAGCACAACAGCATGCAACTGCATGCATGCAAAAACTGCAGTGTGTGAGCTGCACAAATGCCTGTTGATGAGAACATTTCTTAAGCTTTAGACTGTAGTACAGTTTTACAGTTTCATCCAAAGTGGAATCCCAAGACACTGGCAGATCATGGGTTATTTTAAGTATCATGCTACAAATAATGAAGGAATTCGTAACACATGAAAGCAATTCAGGTTATCATTTATCACTCACTAAAAGATAGCCTGGTCTTTCATTCATCCATTCTCCACCGCTTATCTGGGGCCAGGTCACAGGGGACGCCCTGGTATTCCCCAGGAGAAGATGGCCTGGTAAGACACCTACAAGTCCAAAATCTTAAGTTTGCTCAAGCAGAGACAGACTTGATGCACCAGAACCTGTAACTGAGAAAAACATTATGGAGGTAATCATCCCATGAGAGAACAAACCACTCATCATTTTGGTTAAATATGCACATGCTTCTGTTGGCATGACAATGGTGTGAATGGTTCTGATATTTTCCTTAATGATGCTTGGATTCAGGGTGTAACTAGTTTCTTTCCCCCATGCATGTATCCATCTAACAGAAGCTGGACGAGTATTTTTAACAAGAGCAAGAGACAGAAGCTGCAGGAGATGCTGCATGAGCACTAGACAAGAAACGTCTGGACGCCACAGCAGATTCAGATCAAGGAGTGTCACGCAAACGGCTGCTGCTTGAGGAGAAGTGTGACAGCAGAGCATGTCCACCAGTAGCCAGCTGTCATATTCTCCTGAAACACCCTTCAGTATTCTAGGTGCTTGGATTATGGTTCTTCTGTAGTATTTCTTACCATTTCCTGAGTAGACGGTACAGATTTTCAAAATACCGTCATGTGAAAACCAATGTTTATGCAGAATATACTGGCTACTTCTCTATGATCATTTCTTCCTGGGCCATTACAATCCACAAGAATACGACCCCATTAAACTGAAAACTAAAGGACCATTTTAATTTAAGGTACTTAAAAACTGTTGACTGACTTGGTGATACTTTAATAGATGTCCACATTTCAGTAACACTTTACATTAGCTGCACTTTCATAATGCATTTGCTACGCCTTCATAGATCATTCAGTGCACCTTCATAATGCATTCATGGGACACTCAGTGCACCTTCATAATGCATTCATAGAACATTCAGTGCACCTTCATAATGCATTCATAGGACACTCAGTGCACCTTCATAATGCATTCATAGGACACTCAGTGCACCTTCATAATGCATTCATAGGACACTCAGTGCACCTTCATAATGCATTCATAAGCAGCATATAAGTATACCTTAACGTCTTAAAGCAGTGCGTTCATAATACTTTCCAAGAACAAGACATCATAGCTGTAATGAATATTGACAATCACGTTTGTTATTAATGTATATAAAAGCTGTTACGGTATGTTAATGTTAAGGTATACTTACATGATGCTCATGAATGTTCTATAAATACATGAATGTACACTGTTCTATGAATGCATTATAAAGCCAATATGAAGGTGCAGTTAACGTAAAGCATTACCAAAATTTCTCTATTGATTCTTGTTTGCACAGGTATCCATTCCACCCCTGGGTGACCTCAGTTCCTCACCTCAGAAAGACGACAGAACTACAAAGGTTCGTTAACTACTGTTGGACCGTTCAATGTCCCATTAAAATCTACCGACAGTAAATATATAAATAGTGATGACGATAACGCCAAGCATCATTGCATGAATGTGGAGCAGAATGAAAGTGATGGACAATAACTTGGTTCTCACACTTTTATTTGACAGGTGGCATCCCAGGGAAATGGATCCTTGAGTTCCCCTGTGAAAGGCATGTGAGGTGAGGAATGGAGAGGGACACCCAGAAGCCAGTGGGCACTGCCTGCCAAAGGGCACGACCTCCCTCCCACACTGAGGGAAGCTGGTGCGTCTCAGGCATCTTCATGGACACTGAGAACCACCAGACACCCATGTCCTGCTTAGCTGCAGCTATGAATAAAATAAATACAAAAAAAATATATATTATAGATACCTGGCAGGTGCTGAGGTATCACCCGCTGCACCGCTGCACTTAGGTTCTCATCCCTGAGGTAGTTTATTGTGTGGCGGGTGCAACAACACGCTGTAATCAGCGCGCACCCCTTACCTCTCTTAATGTAGTGCAAAGCATCCCTGATTGTTATTTTGACCATTATAATTCATTATCTATAATATATTATAGATGAGGGCTTCATAGAGCATTCATAATGCATAATAAACATGGCTATAATGTGTTATGCCTTTTTATAGATAGTTATAGCCATATTTATAATACTTTATATGAATGCATTATGAAGGTATCTATAATGCATTATAACGATCGGGTTAAGTGTAACCAAAAATACTTACTGGCTGCTTTTCATGGGGATAAAGAAGGATTACCAAACCTCTGAGCAGTAGAAACACAATAAAAGTAGAATGGCAATGCTTTGAACCAGAATAACGTCAATACTAAATGATTCAACACTGTCCCCTTCAAATGATTCATTGAACGGGAGGTGCAGAAATAAACCCACAAACATATTTAAACATTTTTCCCCAATCGCTTTCATTCATGTTCTACAATTATCTTCCAAACTGTACTTGGACATTTCCTCTCAAGACAGCCCTTTATGGCAAACAGGAGATTCCATGTGTAGGTAAAAAAAGCCTCCGTTAAAAACACAGACATCGTTTAAAGTTGGCCTGTTTATGTCATTCTAAACATGGAAAGTGTTATAATACAGCTTCCACACACAAACTATAACTTACATTATTTACAATTCAGATTTAATTCAGTGCAGCTAACATTAAAAATGATGATGTATGTGAGGCTGTGAGAAACAAAATATGTTAATTTGGGAAGAAATGAAAGCATGTAGGAGCCCTGTTGCTGAGAAAAATTAAATAACCTTCCATTTCCCCATCCCTTTTAAATAACAAAGCATTCACCATGACATTCGATTCAAACACCAATAAAGCATCAATGTCTACTCAAAGTTTCCAGTTCCATTTTCATGACCACCAAAACATTAAGTATTTGTTCAAAAGCAAAAAGAAAAAATGCAATGTCTATATTTTGGTTTTTGTTATTGATGTGTCTAGCTGTAGATTGAATTCAAATGTCTGTCTCTTTCATATAAGGTTCAGAATTATCTGTTTTAGTTTCCATTCATACCTTTATGAATTAAGATTTTCTGAGTGGAAATGTTAAAGTCATAATATTTTAACAGTGGAATGCATCCATAAGCAATTAAGGAACTGTTAGTTAAATCCACATGAAGCAACATAATGTCTTTAATAGTAAAATGTAATGAACTTCGGAGTGACAATATGTTTCGGAATATTTGTATGTGCTGTGGTTTGCTGACACTTTAACCAAATAATGTTAGAGGAAACAAAACAAAAAACCTATTGACAATTACAAGGTAGTGTGATTCTTGAAATAAACTTAGTTTTACCAAAGTCCTGTTTAGTATTCAGCACAACATGCACTGCATACATCCATCTTGCTTCCAGTGAGGGAAGATTTTTCTTAAAACATTTTTTAATATTATTTGTTCCTTGGTAAAGTTGGTTTGTCTCACAGGTACCCAATTTGTAAAATTAAAATAAGACATTGACATAATAATTTTTTTTTCTGTTTTATAAACAACTGACGGGAAAAACAAAATCCTGAGATATTACCATATCCAGTGGTAAACAATTATCACAGTCCCAAAACGGCTTTCCTATATTTTGCATGTGTGTCAAACGTCCACATTTTCAGAAGTACTTAGTAGTCCAGACGGTCTCCATCTACAGCGCTGGCATAAAGGTCTCAGCTCACAAACGCAACCTGGCGAGTGACCGTGTCGGAACCACGTCCGTGCTGGAGCCGGACTGCCCATGGCATCAGCCTAGAACCTGCTCTGCTGATACTTGCCGCTGGTTCCGGTATATCGGATTGAGCATCTCGTCAGGAAGCCCCAGCTCTGTCCCTTTGTCTTGGGAAGCGGGGTGGGGGTGGGGGGCATATAGCATGGCACCGATCCACGTCGCCTCATTTGAGAGATTTTTGGTCGAACAGCTGCAGGTCCAGGCGCACCCATACCTCCCCTGTCGGTACCTCGTGCAGCAACAGACGCCGTGTCGCTGCTCCCTTGTTTTCCAGCTCTTTCTTGATGGTGGCCACAGGAACTTCGGTGCGGCCCAGGAAGTCTGATAATGATACGGGCGATCACAATGACAGCGGTCACCACCAAATGTCAGTAATACAACACAGACCATTGTGGCACAATGAAAGAATTTAAGCAATGAGGGGGAAAAGAAATAAACAGTCAAACACAAAAGAAATTATCTAGTAGAGGGGCTGCAGTGAACCTGAAGTATATCCCTGGGCATAAAGTAGAGAACGCAGTTCACCTGGGCGTGTTCTTGGGCTGCAGGAGTAACCCACACAAATACGGAGAGAATGCGCAAACTCCACACACACAGAGCCAGGGGGAGGATATGAGACCAAAACCCTGAAGCATGAAGCCACAGTGCTACCCCATGGGGAAACTCAAAATGGCAAAAATAATACACGTGTAATAGACGCAGACTCTAATTAATTCAGCACATTAAACATCAGAACTGTTCCCAAGATGAGTCGACATGTAAAATAAACAAACATCTGAAGAAAGGACTAACCATCAGGGGAGAACTGGTCCCTCTCGAAGATGGTGACGCACAGAACATCCTGGTACAGGTCCTTAATGAAGAACTGACAGTTGAAGTTCCACTTGGGGTTGATTGTGTCATTTATTGTCCGGGAGGTGAAACACTGTGCCCCCATGGTAACTTCGCAATATGGATTACTCTTTCCTGGAGGGAGAAGGCCATCAAAAACCCATTAAACCCAACCATCGAGCCATACGTGAGGTACAAGGCATTAGGGGGTTGGCTGTTGGAGTTCCGGGGAGCTGAGATACATTTGACCCTCACCATTGGGTTTGCAGGGCTTGAGCTCTGTGGCCTCCAAAACAGTGACCAGCAGGCGGCCGATGCCACTGGTTTTCAGGGAACGAGCTGGAAATGCAGACAGCAGGTGATGCATGAGTCAAAAGACCAGGGACCAATAAATAAGAGAGATGCAAGGAACTTCCAAGGAACTGGCAGAAATAAGATGCAGCAACTGAAAAAAACTATACTTAATGGGGCACTGCATTCCACAATAATAAAACAGTCTATGATAGGGTTATCAAAATCCGACAAGTTATCCCCGATAAGCCAATAACTCTAGCTTCGTAGTACAGGCCATGGGTTGAGAAGCTACAAACTCAGACCAAGATTTAGTTTTTACTAACCAGTTCAGTAGTCTGACTGACTCTTTATGCCAGGGGTGTCCAACTCCAGTCCTGGGGGGCCAGAGCCCTGCACATTTTTGGGTTTCCCCTCATTTAACACACCTGATTCAACTCCTTGTGCTAATTACCACACAGCTCTTGAGCTGAA